CCCCAAAACCCCAAAACCCCAAAACCCCAAAACCCCATTTGAAGACGTTTGTGTTGAAAATAATATTTTAAAGCTTGGTGATAAGGTAGATGAGAATTGGAATGAAACCTATACAGCCACAGACATGAAATTACCCTCCATTTGGCCAACACATGCAAGGTAAATATGAAATATTTTCAAAAATCCTTCTTAGACACTTCAAATCCCTGAACAAGTGTTAATTTCTTTAATAATCCATTCCAGTACTATCAAATAAAAGAGCAGATGGGAATTCCTTCCCAAGCTTCTTCTTGGCTACACAAATCATTGTTTTCTTCAATTCCAAAGCGAGTATGGCAGGATGCTAGGAGTCTCCTTAATGCCAAAGGTCTTACCAAATTTGTGTACTTTATTCTTTTAATAATAACTTTGAGAAGATTCATATCATAAAGCTTGAAATTTTAACATGTTTCTTAAATTACTGAGACCTTCAATCAAGCCTCCAATTTAGAGCAGATATTTGTGTTAATGATTGTTAACAGTTTGTTTCAAGTGAAGATTTACTTAGAAATCGTACTTGCTGATTATCGCAACAATTTACCTTTTATGGATTTTCTTTAATTTCTGGTGTCCGATCTTGTAAATAGAACAATTGTCGAAAATATTATTATTTAGGTAGGAACAACGGTATTGGTATCTGAATGCCAATACAGCCGACCATGCCTGCAATAAACTCCTGTAACTCAGCGATCACAAACGCCTTGGTTATGAGTGCTGGTTCTTCAACTAAAATGTTTCCTAATATGAGAATAAACCATAATTTGAGAAGATTAAAGAATCAGGCAACTCGAAGCAATCAATACCAAGGAGTCCAAATATGCCGGATATGTGGAGAGCTTCCTCAAACAAGGTATAAACAAAATACCACTTTGAAACAATGGATCTGCTGATGATTTTTGTTTGTGATTTTTCTTGGCATCCCTTTCTGATGATATATCCCATTCTATATTTCATCCTGATATTCTCAGAAGCAATATTATCTAAAATGAAAATGTGGGATTTGGAAATAAACTAAGACTTGTATACATTAATATTTACTATTGGATCGGAACAAATGGGGTTTTGGGGTTTTGGGGTTTTGGGG